CTACCACCTGAACTATCCAATGTCCACAATGTGTTTTATGTTTCAATGCTGCAATGGTATCTTCGATATCCAAAACATATTATTGGTTATGAGAACCTGGAAGTTTAAGAGGATCTTTCTTATGAAGAGCAACCAGTGCAGATTCTCGATCATTGTGATCAAGTTCTTCGAAACAAGACCATACCGTTAGTAAAAGTCTTATGGCCAAATCATCGTATCGAGGAAGCTACGCGGGAAACGGAAAGTCAAAAGCGAGCCAAATGCTCACACCTCTTTGAAAATTAAGGTACGTCAAGTTTGGGGACAAACTTCTATTTAGGAGGGGAGAAATGTGACACCCTGAACGTTTAATTAAATACCACATAAATATTTATAGTTATATATACGTGTGATTGTATGTGATAATATATTATTAAAACAATAAATAAATAAATAAATACTAATAACAACAATAATAAAATAAATATATGGCATAATAATAATAATAATAATAATAATAATAATAATAATAATAGTGGGAGTGATAGTAAAATAAAATAATTAATTTTCGTTTGGTATGCGATAAAGTGTTATTTAATTAGTTTGTTTTTTTTTTTTGTTTTGTTTATCAAATGAGTGGTACATAATTAGTATAAAGAATTGGGTCAAAGTATAATTACCATAAAAGTTAATATAATAAGATAAGTATAAATCCAATCAGAAACTAATCCAAATCTAAGGAAAATCGGCTCTGGGCACGCGTTGAGTGATGGCACGGTTTGCCTCCCTATAAATAGGGAGGAGTTGATCAAGAATCGAGATCAGTGAAAAAAAAAAAATTTAAGAAACACGCTGGAGTACTGGAGGTAGGGAACCAATAGTAAGAAGGGTTGTGATAGTAGAAAGTAAAGACTAAAGGTCAATATTAAGGTGAGTTATATTATATCTTGAGTTATTATAATATATTTTACGTATGTTTTAACTTACCATAATTTATTTTATACAAGTTATGTTTTATAAATTATATTAATATTTCAATTATGTGGATTAATTTCTGAACTCTATTTGTTTAAGATGAAACCCATGGATATGTTTGTTTAAATTTTAAAGAATATTTGACTATGACCTTATAAACAATTATGTTTTATAAGTACCACCACGGAAGTCTCACGCCTTGAGAGACTTAAATAACCATTGGCTTTTCTTTGGCCACTTTGTGATCCTCTGTTTGTCATGGATCCATTGACCTTTGTTCTGACTGTCGCCACTACAACAAAAGTAACCTATGGTGACGAAAAGTAGTGAAGAAAATAAATTTCGTCACTAAATAAGAATAATCCGTGACGAATTATAAAATTTTGTCACATAATAAAAAAATAAAAATAATAGGTGACGAAATTTATTTTCGTCAGCAAATACTTCTTTTTAGGTGAGGAAAAATTAAGTTTCGTCACCGAAGATTTTCCCGCTAATTTTTTTGGTGGCGCCAAAATTTTGAGACTTTTGGTGAGAAAAATATTTGTCACAAATTATAAAATTATTAGTGAGGAATATATTTTTGTCACCAATAATTATATATATATATTTTTGAAGAAACTTGATTTTAAAATATTTTAAGACCATTTGGTGAGAAATATATTTTTGTCATTAATAATTTTTAATATTTTGAGACTTTTTAGTGAGAAAATTATTTTGTCACTAATTTTGGAGAGAAAATTTTGACATATTGGGCAGTAATGAAAAAAAATAAACTAATAACTTTTCTTTCCTTTTTTTTTTTGTTTATTAGTTTTCCTCTCCCCCTCTCTCTCTCTCTCAAAACAAAACAAAACACAAATTAATTAGCTATCTAAGTAACTTATGGTGACAAAAAGTAATAAAGAAAATAAATTTCATCACTAAAAAAAATAATTCGTGACAAATTATAAAATTTTGTCACAAATAATAAAAACGTAAAAATAATAGGCGACGAAATTTAGTTTCATCAATAAATACTTTTTTTAGGTGAGTAAAAATGAAATTTCATCACCAAAGGTTTTGCCTCTTATTTTTTTGGGTGACGCCAAAATTTTGAGACTTTTGGTCAGAAAAGAATTTGCCACAAATTATAAAATTATTAGTGAGGAATATATTTTCGCCACCAATATTTTAAATATATATATTTTTTTGAGAAACTTGATTTTAAATGTTTTAAGACCATTTCCTCAATGATAATTTTTAATATTTTGAGACCTTTGATGAGAAAAATATTTTGTCACTAATTTTAAAAGGAGAATTTTGACATATTGAGCGGTAATAAAAAAAAATAGATTACTATTTTGCCCCCCTCATTCTTTTTTTTTTTTTAATTAGTTTTCCTCTCATCTGTTTTTTTGTGTTTATTAGTTTTCCTCTCATATCTCTCTCTCTATCTCAAAAACAAAACACAAGTTAGGTCTATTCCTTTAGCATACCTTGTCCTCCTTCAGCATGTTTTTCTCCAGCGCTGCCGCCGACATCGCCCGTTCTCCTCCTTCTGTGGTGCCGCCAACGTCGCATCTCCGAGCCCGTCCGCCTGTCCCCTTTAGTGCCATGTGTTCTCTTCCATCAATGCCTCTTATTATTCGATTTCTCTGTTTTGTATTTTCAGGTATGGGCCCTCTCTCTCTCTCTCAATTTCTCTATTTTTCTATCTCTGTTTTCCCTAATTTTCAAAATTAATGTTTTCCCTAATTTTCGAAACTAATGAGACACGCAGTGTCCCATATGTGATTTCTTCGGACTGTATTTTGCATTTAAAGGTTGTGATTTCTTCGGATTGAATGGTGGGGACATAATTGATTTGATTGCTAATGTTTCTCCTTGGTAAGCAAGTAGACAATTACTTATTTGCTTGGTTGTTTTCACGACATTGATTGACTTCCGTTGCCTTCACAGGTTTCCCGTATTGAACAGGTTTCTAAATAACATATTGACGAAATAATTACTCGGGGAAGGGGGGTGGGGGCGGGTTAATCCTCAATGAAGTTAACTAATTATTTGTTGTAGGTAGAAGGGAAAAAAAAAAGGATTGTCAATAGATTTCTAGCAAAGATTTATTAGTTGACGCAGCTTGATTATGCTAGTCTAACTCCATAAATTTGTTATCTATTTAACCTCTCTACATGATAGGATTTTCCTACAATGTTACAGAGTAGAATTGAGGGGTTTTTGGTGGTCACTTGGAACTTGTTCTCTGGTTTAGAAAATTGTTTGCATTTCTGGATCTTTGGCCTTCAGTTTTGTGAGTTTCGAGTTTTGTATGTCTGGATGCTCTTATCTTAGCAAAAAGAGGTACTTCAAGTGAAGTAGTATTATTTGTATTGGAATTACTTTGTATTGTTAAATAGTTAATTCTTTTTCTTTTCTTTTCTTTTTTTTTTTGGTTCTTTTTCCTAATCTTCATCTTTTGCTGTTGAAACCTTTTACTCCTCCATTTTATATTTGAATAGTGATATGTCATGAATAATATTTTATTTAAAGGCGTCAAACTTTGTTGTAAGATGTTTAAGATTGTGAATTTTTTAAATAAGCAGCTAATTGATTGGAGATGTATTTTCTTATGCACCCTTCTCCACATATCAATAATTATGTTAAGTTTGTCAAATCCTTTGTGAATAAGTATTGACCATTCAGTTATAATAGAATAGAGCTTAACTACATGTTCTTTTCTCATTTTCTACCAGGGTACATTCTTTTTGAAAGATTTGAGTTTGTCACATAGGGGGAAGCATTGATTATGGCTAGCCCAGTAAACAATCAGTGTAGTCTGTGGATTTTTTGGTGATTAACAAATGCTAACTGGTACATTTTATTCTTGAAAATTGACATTTTTGGAGCAGTAATATTGCATGTAACCACATTGTTGGGGAATGCGTCATTTTTAGATCAAAGTGGGCTGGAACATGCTAGCTTCCTGGCTTTAGGAGGAATATTTTCAAATGGAGGAGCCAATGTGAACAAATGGGCATCACCCTTTCAATCAAAAGTACGGATACTAACTATTAACATAACCTTTTGTTCCATCTAATTTTACTATTTTTCAGAAGCATTCCGGACTCATTTTTTAAACATTACATTCTAACTTCATTAGTCTATTTGAGTGCTTGTACTGAAATTTCGTGTCGTTCATGACGGTTAGTTTGAGGCTAACATCATTAAGAATAACACAAAGATTTAATCAAGTGTCCTAATCCAGCATAACAAGATAGTTAACACGATGTTGGAAAGGACATTTACCTATAAGGGCTGAGACAGTTGGAGGACTTTTGTTCTTACTGCTGACTTCTCAATTAACATGATGTTTAGTGGTGTACATTACAAGGGAAGACTTTTTGGCAGAGACCAATTCATTGGTTTTTGGTTCTAAGAAATGACTAATTTATTATGTTGCTGATACAGTAGTTAAATATGCTATCATCTGATTGCAAAGAAAAAATTAACAAAAAAAAAAAAAAAACAACTCATAAGACCTGGTAGTATTTGCAAAATGATGTATATATCTTGGTTTCAATACTCTGGAGTTTGTTTTCAGATTTATAGGAATAAGTTCAAGCTCTTTTATGATTTGTGCTCAAATGCGAGCATATGTTTTTGGTGTTCCATTTATATATATGTTGAGGTGCACCTATTGACTTCTATGGGTTATCTTAGTTTCAATGTTCAGCAGTTCTAAGGTGCTTTTCTTTGTGATAGTATTTGGAAATTTGGTAGATCTTGCTTTACAAAACAGTATTACAGCTGTATCTATCTTTTACGTTGTTTTAACGTTGGCTGTGTTTTTATTACACAGATGTCAGGTTTATTGCAACCCTCATCTGCACAAAACAGGCTTGGTTCTCAAGGCAGCTCATCTGGTCTTATAGTGAAGAGAACAATGAGGGTGGATAACAGTTGATCAATATCCTAATATATGAGTTATTCTCTTATTCCATTGCATCTTTTTCATGGTGTAGTTTACTGCATTTCATGTTTAACTTCCTATTACCCACTTGCTGTTGCAGTTCAATTTCGTTGGCCGCCTCCTTGGTCCTAGAGGGAACTCACTCAAGAGAGTAGAGGCAAGTGTTGAGTGCCGTGTTCTAATTAAAGGACATAGCAGCATCAAGGATCCTGTTAAGGTAATTTTGATTGTCTTTTCAACCAGAATGCTTGTGTTTCTTGGATACTTTCTGTAGTGTTTTATGGTTTGATGTGTTAATACATGAAATGCTGAAACCATAATATTCTGGATACTGAATAGAGCAATGCCACACTTTTAATCTCTCTCTCTAAACGAAAGCTAGAGGTGTAACATGGGCTATGCTCATGTTCTTAACTTATGTCATCTTCATCTCATTTTCAATTCAATTATTTATTTCTTTTTAGTGGTATTCATTTCCTGATATCATTTCCAGAGAGTTTTGTTTGTATAATAGTCTACAATATTGATCAAGTTTCCAATTTCTTCTGACCTCAACCAAAAAGAAAAGAAATTTTTTTTTTTTTTTTTTTTTTTGGGAATCACAATAGCTTTATATGCTTTCAATTTTTCTTGTAGAAACTGTGAACTTTTATTAGATGTTGTAATTAACCATTACATTATAGTTCTTAATACCTTGTCTAATCATGAAGTTGACATGGTTTGTCTGTTCATATTGATGGGTGTTGCATTTTTTCTCTCTCTAAATGTTCTATTTTACTCTGAATTACTATTTATAATTTCTTCCCCATGGGTCTTTAATTGAGAGAACAGTGAGATGTTCTAGCAGTTGTATTTTTAGGAATTTTGATTTTTTATATAGCAGCCAATTTCAGCAGCTGAAATCAATTTGTATAGTAATATTGATGGCAAATATGTACAGTGACTTCTTGCTATTCCTCTTTCTCCTGATACATGCCTCACTTTGTGTACATTGTTTAACTCAATCAAGAACCCAGTTTATTATTAAGTTTCAAATCATTTTGTTCATTTGTGTTTACTTCTCTTTCCTTGTTCTGAAAATGTAATTAGTTATGTTTGTTAATTATGACTTGAAGGAAGAGATGATGTGAGGGAAACCTGGGTATGAGCATCTGAATGAACCTCTCCACATACTTGTTGAGACAGAATTGCCAGCAGAGATAGTTGATGCTCGTTTAATGCAAGCATGTGAAATACTTGAAGATCTACTCAAGCCTGCGGTAACTTATTCTTCTACACCTGAACCTTAAGAGCGCTAATGAAGGGGAGTATGCTAGAAACAACCCACCGCCTGAATGTGACCTCGAGAAATGGAAAAACTTGATTGACAGGAAGTGGAATGATAGCAATTGGCTGGTAAACTTTTCTTATGTTTCTTTATTGTTGACAATTACCATGTGTCTTCCTAATATATATATGTATATATATTGGAACTTGCTCCTTGTAGAAACAATCAATCGCTAACATTGACAATAGAAAACAATTGAAGACGAAACATAGATGCGGGTCAAACTTGCTCCTTTTTGGTAAGTCTCAATTGTTTTATCTTTTCATTTTCTAATGTTGGTTAGTATATACTAGTTAAAGCACAAAAGTTTAAAAAAGTTACCAACCTTTCATATCCACTTATAGTTGTAATCATGTCAAATGTTGTAGATTCAGTTGGAATTAACAGTAACAAGCTAATATGTGAGCCTATAACATCATTCCACTTCTTCCCTTTCTTGTCCCATGGTTTGAATGTCAACTGTTATGCAGACTCTACAATATCAATAACAAGCTAATCTGTGTAATATCAGTTTTTGAATGTTAACTGTTGATTTGCAGACTCTAACTGAAGAAAACACAACTTGATTTTTGTTTAATTCTTCAGAAAACATAGTTCAAGGTCAATAATAGAGTGTTGGATGAGACTCTTTTCTTTTGTTTTCTTCCCCTTTTTCTTCCCTTTCTTGTTCCATGGTTTGTCTTATATCATTTCTCTCATTCCTCTCATATAACACCTACACACCCTGGGTGTTTGGGGAAGTGGCTACTGGGTTTGGTTTTAGAGGTGGTTGATAGCCATGGTGGCCCATGAAGCTATTGGACAGTGGTGGCATGTGAGGTATAGGAGGAAGTGAGAAGAAGGGAAAGGGAGAGTGGGTCTGCTGCTGCAGAAAGGAGGAGGAGAGAGAGGAAATGAAGAAGGAAAGAATAGAAAAAGACAAATTAACAAAGAGGCAAAAGTGTTATTATATATATTTCTTAGATTCACACATGCTCAATTAAGTGTGTGTTGTACACGCACGGTTAACTTAACCAAAATTTGCAACTTTTGCACTTCACTCCAAATTTCAAGAGGGTTATGTGTATATTTTTAAATATGAAGGAGGTAAAGTGTATTTGGACAAAACCATATAAAATGTAATTAACCCAAACTGTTTGGAGGTCTAATTGTATTTTTATTTCAATATCTATTCATGTGTGTTTGTTTTTGTTTTTATGTTTGCTTGCATGTGTGTGTTTTGACCTTTTTTTTACCTCTTTGAGGTTAAAAATAAAACTGAAAAAATATTTAGATTTAAATGAAAATGGTAACTCCTGTGAAAACCATGGGCTAATTAATTTGTCTCAAACACGTCCTGTGATTCTCTTTGGTTCTTGTTGGCATTAGTGCTAATGATACATGGTATTCCTACAATCTTTTGTCATCTTCTGTTATCCATGTTGCTTATCATCAAAGATCACCTCAACTCTTTGAAGTTTTGGATTCTTATATGCATTTTTACTAAATTGGTTTATAAAATAAAATTATTTAAATATGAGTTTAGATGTAATTGATAATATATTAATGTTTTACTTGTTTATTTTTGTTGCAGATTGGTTTTTGATGACATTTGGAAGCATCCTTGCAAATCAAGATCAAGTGTTGAATTTTTTTTTCCTGAACTGATACTTAGTTCTAGTTGCAAATCAAGATCAAGTATTGATTTTTTTTGTGGACTTCACGTTAGTTTATTTTGGGATTTTCTATGATGGTTTTTTGTGTAATACTTAACGGATTATTATTAAATTTGTTGGATGAATATATTTTGACTTATAATATAAATTGTATAGTGAATTATTTTTTTTGGTGGAGTGGTGTATAATAGTTTGTGAATTTCATAGTACATTTAAAAGGCTATTGGGATATGAGCATGGATATTTGTGAAATAATAATTTGAATTGAAATATAAAATATGAAACAAGTTTAATGATGAATTTTTTTGTCATCTATACTTGTTATTATGACAAAGTGATTATTCGTCGCTAATAAATATTTTTTATGATAATTTATCGCAGTTTATTTATGAATGTTTTCATTGATTTTGTTGCTTGGTGACTAAAAATTTCGTCACGTATACATATTTTTGTTACGAAATATATTTCGTCACCCATGTATAACTTTTGGAGACGAAAAATTTCGTCAACTTTACATCTTACTGTGACGAAATTATTTCCTCATCAATGATCAACATGTGACAAATTTATTCGTCAACTAAAGTTATAAAGATGGTACTGAATAACTATTTGGTGACGAAGATGGGGATTTTTGGCGGTTTATCTTGGGTTCCGATATCTTCGAAGGCAACCTCGGCCTAGCCGAGATGACCTCGGCACAACGACCAAGACACGTGGCACCTCGGCTGACACGTCAGCGTCACCTTGCCACGTGTTGATACTCAGAAAATATATCCCCACAGATCCATTGACCTCTGTTCTGATTGTCACTTCTGTGACACTTCTGTGATCTCTGTTTTGTTCTGTTCTGTACCGTGGTTATGGTTATTTATTTATATAATTTCTGTATTTCAGTTTCTGCCGCTTAAATGATTTATTTACCAAACTGAGTTATGTAAATGTTTTGGATTAACTAACTATCCATGGTTATTTTGTATTCCCTATACTCTTGGCCTTTCTTTGGCCACTTTGTGGTCCTCTGTTTGTCATGGATCCATTGACCTTTGTTCTGACTGTCACTTCTGTGACCTCTGTTCTGTTCTGTACCGTAGTTATGGTTATTTATTTATATAATTTTTGTATTTTAGTTTCTGCCACTTAAATAATTTATTTACCAAATTAAGTTATGTAAATGTTTTGGCTTAACTAACTATCCATGATTATTTTGTATTCCCTATACTCTTGGCATAATATTTCTCACTCTGCTGTGTGTAAGAAAAACCCATAACCTCATGCAGTGGAACCTGTGCAAGAAATTGATGTGAATTGGTTAATTTGTTTTTCTTTTCTTTTCTTCCTGTCATTTTTTTCTGATGGTCGGTCGCTACATAATAAAATAATAAAAGCCTATGGATGTACTTTTTTTAAAATAGTAGAATGAAGAAGCTTTCTGTTTAATTATCTTTGTTTCTGTTTGCCTCCGCTTGCGTAGTTAAATTTGCTACGATTAGAATAAGTTAGTAAGTTACGATTCTAACCCTAAGCCCTTGGGGTTGGGTCGTGACAGGGAGACTTTCAATCAGATCGGAGATTGTCCCATAAACCTAGGTATCGCACAGTATAAGCATGGTTTACCAGTAGGCCATAAATTTAGAGATTTAATGACAATGATGCTGCCCCTTACTATGGAAGCCTTGATGGAGAGAGTGCACCAACACATCCGGGAAGAGGAAGATGGGGCACGCGCCAAAGCAGACTTCGACACAATAGCAATGCCAAACAAGAAGCCTTTGGCAAAAGTTAACACGGACGACAAGAAGGACCGACCGCACAAAAATCTTTGCCCAACTGGGGGCAAAACGGGTTAGTAGATTTAACCAACTCTTTCTAAACAACTCTTTGCTCAACTGGGGAAAATGAAGGTTGGCTGGTTTGACCAACAAAATTTTTACACCCTTTAGCCGAGATAAGGATCTAGGCTAAAGAAGGTTGGAAGGTTTGACCCAAAAAAACTTTTTTTGCACTCTTTAGCCGAGATAAGGATCTAGGCTAAAAAAGGTTGGCTAGTTTGACCAACAAATTTTTTGCACCCTTTAACCGAGATGAGGATCTAGGCTAAAGTAGGTTGGCAGGTTTAACCAACGAAATTTTTTTTGCACTCTTTAGCCGAGATGAGGATCTACGCTAAAGAAGGTTGGCAAGTTTTACCAACAAAATTTTTACACCCCTTAGCCAAGATGAGGATCTAGGCTAAAGGTGGTTGGCAAGTTTTACCAACAAAATTTTTACACCCCTTAGCCAAGATGAGGATCTAGGCTAAAGGTGGTTGGCAAGTTTGACCAACAAAATTTTTGCACCCTTTTGCCGAGATGAGGATCTAGGCTAAAGGAGATTGGTAGGTTTGACCAACAAAAACTTTTTTGCACTCTTTAGCCGAGATCATGATCTAAGCTAAAGAAGGTTGGCAGGTTTGACCATTAAAATTTTTGCACTCTTTGACCGAGATGTTTATCTCAGCCAATGAAGGTTAGCAGGTTTGACCAACAAAATTTTTGCACCCCTTCGTCGAGATAAGGATCTAGGCTAAAGGAGGTTGGCAGGTTTGACCAAAAAAACCTTTTTTGCACTCTTTAGCCGAGATGAGGATCTAAGCTAAAAAAGGTGGCAGGTTTAACCAACAAAATTTTTGCACCCTTTAGCCGAGATGCGGATCTAGACTAAAGGTTGTTGGTAGGTTTGACCAACAAAATTTTTGCACCTTTCAGCTGAGATGAAGATCTAGGCTAAAAGTGATTGGCAGGTTTGACCAACAAATTTTTTATACCATTTATCCAAGATGAGGGTCTAGGCTAAAGGAGGTTGGCAAGTTTGACCAACAAAATTTTTTTTCACTTTTTAACCGAGATGAGGATCTAGGCTGAAGAAGGTTTGCAAGTTTGACCAACAAAAGTTTTGCACTCTTTAGCCGAGATGAGGATCTAGGCTAAAGAAGGTTGACAAGTTTGACCAACAAAATTTTTGCACACTTTAGCCAAGATAAGGATCTATGCTAAAGGAGATTGGCAGGTTTGACCAACAAAAACTTGGTTGCACTCTTTAGCCGAGATAAGGATTTAGGCTAAAGAAGGTTAGCAGGTTTGACCAAAAAAAATTTTAGCCGAGATGAGGATCTAGGCTCAAGATGGTTGGCAGGTTTGACCAATAAAATTTTTGCACCCTTTAGCCGAGATGAGGATCTAGGTTAAAGGAGGTTGGCAAGTTTGACCAACAAAACTTTTTTGCACTCTTTAGCTGAGATCAAGATCTAGGCTAAAGAAGGTTGGCATATTTGACCAACAAAATTTTTGCACTCTTTGATTGAGATGTTTATCTCGGCCAATGAAGGTTGGCAGGTTTGACCAACAAAATTTTTGCACCTTTTTGCCGAGATAAGGATTTAGGCTAAAGGATGTTGGCAGGTTTGACCAAAAAAAACTTTTTTGCACTCTTTAGCCGAGATGAGGATCTAGACTAAAGAAGATTGGCATGTTTGACCAACAAAATTTTTGCACCCTTCAGTCGAGATGAGGATCTCGGCTAAAGGTGATTGGTAGTTTGACCAATAAAATTTTGCACCCTTCAGCCGAGATGAGGATCTAGGCTAAAGGTGGTTGGCAAGTTTGACCAACAAAATTTTTGCATCCTTTAGCTGAGATAAGGATTTAAGCTAGAAGAGGTTGGCAGGTTTGACCAACAAAACGTTTTTGCACTCTTTAGCTGTGATTAGGATCTAGGCTGTAGAAGGTTGGCAAGTTTGACTAACAAAATTTTTGTACTCTTTAACCGAGATGTTTATCTCGGCCAATGAAGGTTGACAAGTTTGACCAACAAAATTTTTTTGCACTCTTTAGCCGAGATGGGGACCTAGGCTAAAGAAGGTTGGCAGGTTTGACCAACAACAAAATTTTTGCACTCTTTGACCAAGATGAGTATCTCGGCCAAGAGGATTTGTAGGTTTGACCAACAAGTTTTTTGGATTCTTCAGCCAAGATAAAGTTTGCAGGATTAGGTAAAGCCAGGCTAATTAGTTCAACTAGGCATACAGTTAGAATGATGCAAAACATTGAAAAGAAACATAGTAACCGAGCAAAGAGATCAAAATTTTTTATTAATTGAAAAATGATTACAAAAGGTGGGACATATAGCCCGGTTACACAGAAAGAACGCCTCTCGTATGATTGCAAACTCGAAGGATATAAATGTTGAAGGCAAAAAGACGGGGCTATTCAAATTTTTGGAGGTACATGTCGGTTGTAATAGGAGAACGAGGATAATAAGGGCACACAACGTATCCTAGGAATGATGTCGTGTTATACATTCCAGATTAGTGGAAGGAAGTACTGTGCAACTATCAAGACTTATTGGGGCCAAACGAGTTATGAGACCGAACAACTTTACTAGCTCGGCAGAGTTAGGGGTTCTTAGCTCGGTTGGAGGAAAATAATCCCAATTATGCTACACAGATGGAATTAAGGGGCAATTGAGAAGGTAATTTATGAACAAATTGGGTCGAGCTAGGAAGAGTCTTCTTTGGAAGTTGAGCCACGTAATGGGCCAAGATAAGAGCTGGTGTAGCTCAGTCTTGGTCTAAGAAGACACTAGGTCGGTCAGAGATGGGTTGCCAGGGCCTAGACCTAGCTATCTGAAGGTAGTCCTTTATCAAACTGTGATGTTGTCAATAAAGAGGGTCAAAAGGGTCAAGCTATGTGTAGCTTGGCAGGGTGCCATTCGGTAGATCGGCTTCCTGTCACACAGCTCGAACCGTAAGGAACCAAGATAAGGCAACTTAGTCAAGAATGTATATCTGAGCATGAGGGTGTGGCCATCTCACTTGGCTTACAGTGATGAGGGTGTTTTAAGAATAAGAATTATCATTGGGCATGAGACTCCTAGAAGGACCCTGCTAAGAAGAATAGAATCCCACTAGGATTGTACAAACCATCTAGCTTGGTTGATAGTGAG